GCCTAAGTAGGGAGGCCCAGACTTCCCTCTCCCCAGCCACTTGGGCCAGCTCCTCCGGGGGAATCCCAAGGCGTTCCCAGGCCAGCCGAAAAATATAGTCCCTCCAGCGTGTCCTAGGACTTCCTCTGGTCTCCTCCCGGTGGGCCATGCCTGGAACACCTCACCAGAGAGGCATCCAGGAGGCAACCTAACCAGATGTCCATGCCACCTCAACTGGTTCCTCTCGATGTGGAGAAGCAGTGGCTCAATTCTGAGTTCCTCCCGAGTGACCAAGCTTCTCACCCTATATCTAAGGGAGAGCCCAGACACCCTGCGGAGAAAACTCATATTGGCCACCTGTATCCGTGATCTCGTTCTTTCGGTCAAAACTCAAAGCTCATGACAATAGATGAGGGTAAGAACGTAGATCGACCGGTAAATTGAGAGATTCGCTTTTTGACTCAGCTCTCTCTTCACCATGACAGACAGGTACAGCGCCTGCTTCACTGCCGACGCTGCACCTATTCGCCTATCGATCTCACGCTCCATTTTTCCCTCATTCGTGAACAAGACCCTGAGATACTTGACCTCCTCCACTTGGGGCAGGACCTCCTCTCCGACCCGGAGAGGGCACTCTACCCTTTTCCGGCTCAAGACCATGGCCTCGGATTTGTAGGAACTGATCCTCATCCCGGCCACATCACACTCGGCTGCAAACCGCTCAGCAAAAGCTGTAGATCATGACTTGTTGAAGCCAATAGGACCACATCATCTGCAAAAAAAAAAAAAGTGATCCTAAGGCCACCAAAACGAATCCCTTCAACACCTTGGCTGCACCTAGAAATTCTGTCCATAAAAGTTATGAACAGAATCTGTGACAAAGGACAACCTTGGCAGAGTCCAACTCTCACTGGGAACGAGCCCGACTTACTGCCAGCAATGCAGACCAAGCTCTGACACCGGTCGTACAGGGACCTAACAGCCCATATCAAAGGGCCTGGTACCCCATACTCCAGGAGTACCTCCCACAGGGCCCCCCGAGGGACACAGTCGATGTACATGTACAGCACATGTAGTCTGGTTAGGCAAACTCCCCCACACCCTGCAGGAACCTGCTGAGTGTGTCTTGCTGGTCCATTGTTCCATGACCAGGACAAAAACCACACTGCTCCTCCTGAATCCGAGGTTTGACCATCCGATGGACCCTCCTTTCCAGAACCCCTGATTAGACCTTACCAGGGAGGTTTAAGAGTGTGATCCCATTGTAGTTGGAATACACTCTACGGTGCCCCTTTTTGTATAGGGGGACCACTACCCCAGTCTACCAATCCAGGGGAACTGCCCTCGATGTCCACGCAATATTGCAGAGTCGTGTAAGCCCACACAACCCCACATAATTCAGAGCCTTAAGGAACTCCGAGTGAATCTCATCCACCCCTGGGGCCCTGCCACCAAGGAGCTTTTAACCACCTCGGTGACATCAGCATCAGGGATTGGAGAGCCCAACCCAAAGTCCCCAGGCTCCGCTTCCTCAGTGGAAGACATGCCAGTGGGATTGAGGAGGTCTTCGAAGTATTCTGCCCACTGACCCACGACATCCTGAGTTGAGGTCAGCAGCACAGCACCTCCACTATAAATGGTGTTGGTGGCATACCGTTTCCCCCCTGAGACGCCGGATGGCGGACCAGAATCGCCTCGAAGCCATATGGAAGTCATTCTCCATGGCCTCTCAGAACTCCTCCCACGCTTGAGTTTTTGCCTCAGCGACCACCCGAGCCGCATGCCGCTTGGACTTCCGGTACCCATCAGCTGCTTCCGGGGTCCCACAGGCCAAAAAGGACTCATTCTTCAGCCTGACAGCAACCCTCGCCGCTGGTGTCCACCACCGGGTTCAAGGGTTACCACCGCAACAGGCACTGACAACCTTGCGGCCACAGGTCCAATAAGCTGCCTCGACCATAGAGGAGCGTAACATGGCCCACTCGGACTCAATGTCCCCTGCCTCCCCCAGAACGTGTTCGTAGCTCTCCCGGAGGTGGGAGTTAAAGCTCTGCCAGAAGTTACCAGCAGACCCTCTCAATACGTTTGGGTCTGCCAGGTCTGACTGGCATCCTCCCCCACTATCTGAGCCAACTCACGAACAGGTTGTGGTCAGTGGACAGCTCCACCCCTCTCTTTACCCGAGTGCCCAAGACATGTGGTCGCAGATCAGATGAGATGACAACAAAGTTGATCAACAAACTGTGGCCTAAGGTGTCCTGGTGCCAAGAGCACATATGGATACACTTATGCTTGAGCATGGTGTTTGTTATGGACAATCCATGACGAACACAGAAGTCCAACAACAGAACACCACTCGGGTTCAGATCAGGGGGGCCGTTCCTCCCAAACACACTCCTCCAGGTCTCAATGTCATTGCCCACGTGAGCGTTGAAGTCTCCCAGTAGAACAAGGGAGCCCCCAGGAGGCGCACTCTCCAGTACCCCCACTAAGGACTTCAAAAAGGGTGGGTAATCTGAGCTGCCATTTGACGCATAAGCACAAACAACAGTCAGAACCCGTCCCCCCACACGTAGGCAAAGGGAGGCTACCCTCTCGTTCACCGGGGTGAACCCCAACGTACAGGCACCAAGATGGGGGCAACAAGTATGCCCACTCCTGCTCGGCGCCTCCCGACAGGGGCAACTCCAGAGTGGAAGAGTGTCCAACCCCTCTCAAAGAAACTGGTTCCTGAGCCATGCATCAAGGTGAGTCCGACTATTTAGCTGGAACCTCTCAAACTCACACACCAGCTCAGGCTTCTTCGCCACCAGAGAGGTGACATTCCATGTCCCAATAGGCAGCTTCTGTAGCCGAGGATCGGACCGCCCTCTGCCACCACCCATCCCACATTGCACCTGACCCCTTTGGCCCCTCCCACAGGTGGTGAGCCATTGGAAAGGGGGGCCCATGTCTCCTCTTCGGGCTGTACCCGGCTGGGCTCCACGAGTAAAAGCCCAGCGACCAGGCGCTCACCAGCATGCCCTACCTCGAGGTCTGGCTCCAGAGTGGGGTCCCGGTGACCCACGTCCAGGCGAGGGAACACTGTTTTCGTTTATTGTGCTCATCATATGGGGTCTTTAGGTTGTACTTTGTCA